AACAAAATCGTTCATTTCGTACAAAGTTGAGACCAGACTTTACTCTCGAGCGATAATGATATCAATCTCTGTGTAACCTGCAACCTGGTCAGGTGGGGATTGCATTTTTTGCCACTATTCATTATAGTAAATTGTAGATTAACAATTAAACCGAAATTTTCTCTATTCTAATATGAAATTTAAAAATTTTTTGGGGGGCGCTTTTTTTGGGATTTGGGTTGGGATTTAGGGTAACTTTTGTTAATAGAAGAGTATATGTGGGTTTCAGAGGCATTAAAGAGGATCCAATTTCGTTTTAATCCGATTTCGTTTTAATCTGCTACAATCAATAATGTGAGGAGATACGTACGTATCTAACAGTTACTTCGCGCCTTTTAAAGTCTCAAGTTTTACGTCACTTGAATTTGCGGGTTTAGCCATATTTAGGGAACGAAAAATTTAATTTGAAGAGAATTTATCAGTGATGGGTCAATTAAACCCAGTTCTTTAGTTATATATATTGAAATCTTCAACAAAAAGTGGCATGTTATAATGACCTGATAAGAAAGTGTTATATTATTCGAAAAATGGCGTGTTATATGACCTGATTTTTAAAGACAATGGTATTTATGCTGTTGTGTTACTCAGGTCATAAGTCAAGATGAACGAACGACAAAGTTCTGGTGACAAATGAGCATTTAAGGACATGCTACATAAAGTGCAGTCATGTCGCGTCTATCTTTTCGAAGAAGTTCATGGTAAAAAGACCAATTTCTAAGCGGCTAAAGCTGCGGGATGTACTAAAAAGAATTCATCATAAATGCGTAGGAGAATGCTCAAGATCTTGCTTAAGAATTCCGATCATCGTAGACTATTCGTTTACTTGACAATATTATGGGCTCATGTAACTTAATCAATTAAATACTATTAGTTAGTGGTAATAGTAATAGGTTGCAGATGGCGTAAATATTGCTGATGTCATTTTTCGCAGTGGTCAGCGTCTATTTTAGCGTGTGAAAAGTTGCAGGTTAAGAACTGGATAAAGCGATTTATCATATTTGATGAGCATTCGGATTGATGTCCGGGTAAATATAATTGCAAACAACCGGGACTAACATTTGACTATAATCCGAAGACATTACTATTACTATGGTTGAGCGCACGCACATTAGGTTTATTGCTATTATTAACCGCGAATCTTTTGGTAAAATTTTCATGATTTCCTATTACGCAACGCGTTCTTTGGATAGCAGACAATGTTTGAAATCTGATGATTTATTGTTATTGTATACTATTACGATAAAGGATAATTATTGTTCGGATAATAAATTTGGGATTTACCGCGTTATTGTTACAGTGGACCCTCTCTAAATGCAGCAACCAGTTCAATCCCAAGCTTGTAAGATCAGTACCGTTATAAAAGCAATGCGCCTGACAAACCGCATGCACCGAGAGATGAGAGGTCACTGTATTAGTAATTAATAGTTTGGCCCATCATCTCACACGAATTTTCTCGCTAAATTTCGGATAATCCCAAGGACGTTTGAAACTCAATTCTCTCCTCTCTTTTCTTCAAGAAAACTGTTTACAGTCAGTCGTCTGGAACAAACACCTCATTTGTCTTTCCCAATCACTTTTCCATCTGCCTTTTCCAATATGGCTGCGCCACCAGTTCCACCTCAAAGCCAAGTTATCCTAGATCTGACTAAAAAACGGTTTCGCGACGACGATGCTCTGAAAATACGTTTACTCTCTACTGTTGACCAGAGTCAGCCAATCAGCAATCCGTGCGATCCACGACCCGAGGAGCGTTATTTGGAATATCCATATCTATATAAGCAGGAGAAGATAATTCTAATGCCCGATCTTGTTCGACAAGCTTTGTTTAGTATCCTTTATTATCTGGGTTTTTTTCCAGCATGAAAAGAATTTCGATTTTTATTAAACACAAAACGAGTCTTATTCTTAACTAGACTAATTGCAATCCTGTAGCAAGCACGGTTAGGCACGCATTGTGGGGCGTGTTCTCGTTACTGAATTTTGTATATTTCGTCGTGGATAACAAAGTATTCCTTTGGGAATACGAGAGAGCGTAAGTTGACAGTAAAGTGTTTTATGCGTTTTTGTGTGTGGGAATTAATTATGTAAATTAAGAAGGACTTTGTGTAGTAATCGGATACCAATGATTACGTGTTCTTTGGGTGATTGATCGAGCGTTGCGTTTTCTCTCTCTTATTAACGTGGCAAGTTATACATTTGTGCTATGATTATTGTTGGGCACAGAAATGACAACGATGCCATAGCTTATATAGATGTACCGGAACGATCTGTCACGAATGTTCAGCTTGTCAAAGCGCGACCAAGTAAGCCGAATTATTGATTATTGTATTGATCGTAATGTGGCAATGTAAATCTTATGTTATTCTGATTATTAAAAGATTACTGGATTGATGCTATCCAGTATATTATGACTGTTGTAACTGAAGAGAAGATTCATATATGTGGTATCTCCCGTGAGAATAAGAAGACTGCAATATACAACAGTCCCTCCGAAGTGTATCACTCGCCAACTACTTTGGCTGTAAATATGATAGTTGGTTCGGACAATGGGCGTATCTTTTTAATAGCGCAGAGTGATCTTTATGAACTGATATACCAGGTTAGAGGATGAATTTACGGTTAACGTCGTTGACTTGTGGCTTACAATTTATACAACTCTAATTATGTAGGAGGAAGGCTGGTTTCGTCCAAGAATTTCTTTAGTAAATTTAAGGTCCAGCTCTATACTTCCAAATTGGTCAATATTTCGTAGTGGAGGTATGTGGTATATATCTTCACATATTATTCTCCGAGTGTGTCAAAGCCTTATTTACTGATATTACCTTAAGCTGCTGTAAAGTACCTGGCGATCGATAATACGCGACGAACGTTATTCGTGTTGTTGGAAGATAATACTGTCGAGGTACTATCATTACAGCATTATCGCACTGTACTTTTTTCGTCCTAATGATGATGCTTTTGTTACTCAGATGTATTTCTTGGGACAAGATGGAAACAGCTTCATAAGCAAGGGCAGATTTGACCAAAGTTCAAGGGAGAGAATAAAAGTAAAAAGACGGATCAGTGATAATAATTTGATGGTAACTGACCCAGGCAACTTTATTTCTATACACGCTGTCTCAAAGACAGAATCTGCTCAATATTGTCTTGTTGCGGTATCAGAATCAGGTAAACGTCAATGAAGATATTATTAAATAACTGTATATTTGACCGCATCTAAATTATAGAATCCTTAAACAATTCATAGGCCATCGATGGTATTTCTCATGCACGAATAACTCACCCTACGCCAGTTACTTATATCCTCAACCAGTTGATTCAAGGATACGAGAACCAGATAGTATCACCTTTGCTCATATTCTTTCTCCTCCGCCCACCGATACACCTTCCACGACAACTGGTCGTTTGTCAACCAAATTCCAATTGGCTCGCTATTATCATGGTCTATTTTTCGCCAAACGGATTGATGGTGACCAGACTACGATAATTCAGACAGCCCCTAACTTTGGCGCTATTTATGAGCAGTTAGACAGAAATCAAGTTGTAGGTAATCAGTTATTAAAACATAGCAATTGTTTGGCTCTATTTAATTGTCTTTTACAGAGTATTTCTGATTTTAGGACCGAGGATCTGTTAGACATTATGAGCTCTTTTGCATTAGTACTCTTGGACCTGCTCGTAACCTGTATGAAATTACAGAGAAGTATAGTCCATTGTGCGATCCCAATAAGAATGATGCCTACTTTAACGAGTTGATAAGCCAGTTTGCAAATCCCAAAAGGAGCTTTGTTCTTTTGACAGAAAAAAGTAAGCATCTAAAACGAATGTATAGAAGAAGAATATATATACTGATTCCTTTTTTTTTTGCTATGGAATTCTATTGGCACAGGTGTTACAATATGGACAAAAATGCGCCCAGTCGATTTTTTGAGTATTTTTCTGGAACGATTTGAACAAGATTCAAATACAACTGAACTCGATAAATTCAGGCAGAAGTAAAGTATCGAACCGTGTGCTAAATGTGAAACTGTTGTCATATTTATTGAAAAGGGATGATTTTTACCACAGCTATGGCGACGTTGAGACAAGCGCAATGTGCTTTTACATAGCTTCTCCCGCGAGCAGAAATCTATTAATGCAACTGCGTGTCAGCCCTGCTCGACCTCCATTCACGCTGCCAGGTACTCATCTACCTAGTTGGATAATGCGTTTTATAGATGTCATAAACGAACTAAAGTGTATAAACATTCCCGATTATTGAGCAAATCCCAATTTCCCAACTGGACCAAGAGTGCTATATGAAGGCGTTTGTTTATATCTGGCGAGAACTTTGCGACCAGTCTGGAAAGAAAAAATAGTCAAGCCAAGGTAAATTTTGTTATCGAATAATTGTTCCAGTTTATTAGATGCAAATACGAATGCAACTACTTCATCGTCCTCGTAATTAGAGTTATCAAATGCTATTATTGTTATTGGTAGTCCCACAGATACTAACCCCAACAGAATGGACACAAACATACCACGCGAAGTCCTTGACGAAATCACTCCAAAAATTTTGAAGACGAGATTGTTCTTGGAGACGTAAGTTTGAAGATCAGCTACGTTTTCATATAATTACATTTGGGTAACAATATTAATAATTTGATTCTTTGTAGCTATCCAGACTTTGGTATATTCCCGCAGGGTGGTGATAGAACACTTCAGGTAATTCGGGTGGATCTCTGTTTGGTTTGATTGTTTTAGTTGCTAACAGTCTAATCTTACCCTTTATATAGCAATCTCCCGATTCCTTGATTCCTCCCTATGAATTGCTAGTTAAATGCGCAGATACTATACAGTTTGTTAGGTTAATGATAGATTACAATCTGCCCGAAATTTTGGCGAGGTAAATGATCATAACCATGGTCAATATCAACGTGTATATGTATGCTCTTTGTGACTTGACAAGACTTTTTTCTACAGTTTATCGGTGCGCAGTCGGAAGGCTATAGCTGAATCTACATATGAAGAATTAGTTACCAATAATATTGCCAGGAAGAACTGGCAAGAGCTAGTTTTGGCTATTATCAAACGGGAAAACGGTCCACATGTAATTAAGCGTGTATTTCTCGTCTATTTGTGCGATGTAAGACCCTAGAGATACACTGAATATGTTTGTCCATGTAGGTCGACACGCTGAGTCGTGCCCTTGAGACTTACTGTAAAACTTTCTGCAATGCAGCTGATGTACAAATATTCAGGGTACGATTTATGGACGTTCATAATATTGCTAAGATTTTCTGATTATTTAATGATGCGTTAACGTAACATTTATTGTCGATAGGCATATGAAGAGCTTCAGAATGCTAAGGTTGTTGATGGGTCAACCGCTCCCAATAGTTTATCCAAGGCTTTAGGGTATGTATTATAGCAGAATTGGTACTAGCAGTGATGCTAGATAAGTTAATGAAAACAACCAACATTTTGTATAAATCTATTCAATTTTATTAGTTTGTTTTGTGAAGGCATTGAGAACATGACGTTTGGAACATTAGAAAGCATTTGCACGGAATTCCAGCAATTAGGGTACCATTCGGGTATGTGCATTGTTACATATATTCGGTTCAATAAAAACTTTTGTTAACATCTTATCTTAAATTTTAGAGGCGATTACACTTGCTCTCTCTGGTGCTAACAAATTAGATGTTAGCCACAGGCAACCATATTATGACTTGGTGATAAATATAATGAGGGATGCTGACGTATTTAGCGATAGACCAACCTGTAAGTCAGCAGCAGATCAACTGTAGCTTTCACATCAATGCTGTTATGCTAATCATTTTTACTACCCACAGATTACGATAATCAACAAAGAGATGTTGTGCTTGATACTGCTCTTACTGATGCAACTAATTTAAACGATAAGGGGTTCATTTTTACAGTATACGATGAGTTTTTCCGTGCGGGAACCATTCGTAGATTATTTGAGGTAGTTTCTCAGTCCGTCTATTGTGACTTAACGTATATTGTATCTGTTCTTGAGTCAACGTTGCTAATTGATAAATATTCAAAATCTAGCTACCGTACCCGTATCTTGATGAGTATTTCCAACATAACATAACTCCGGATGAAGTGGGACTAATAAAACAAGAGCTCTATTGCGATTATTGTACTATACGAAATAATCCTGCAAAGGCAGCCGAGATCAGATATAATCTGGCGCATTCGATGGAGTTAGTTGATGACATGATTTTTTTCTAGATTGTATTTGCTACTTGTTATTCAACATCCGCATCACGCAATGATTAACATTATTCCAATACCTGCTCAGCTTCAACATAAACTTGGATAAACGGCTTGAATATCTCAGTCGCTGTGTAGCGGATGCTCGAAGTGCGCAAATAACTACAGATACGCGCGAAATGGTAGAACGCTTACGGATGTATGAAGATGCACTGAGAGTGGCACATGTCCAGCATGAGATTAAACTTGAACTAGAAGCACGAGGAATACGTGCAGACGAGCTTGATCAAAATTTGATCGACAGGCAGCAGGTATTAGAAGTTTACGGAACACCCATCACTGCTTTTATTGTCCTTCGTGATTATTAATTGCCGATTATCGCTTTATATGTGAATAGCTTTTTGAAGATTATGCAGAGAAATACAATCTGCATGAAATTAAATTATCGCTTTTTAGTGCAAGTGCTCGGCCTCATATGCTTGACGTGGCGAATGTATGGAGAGAAATCATTGATAATTGTAAGTATTTTCGACTGATCATTATTCGTATAATGTCTTAATTTGATTTACGGTTATATGACTACTTGACACATAACAATCCGACATTCAGGTCCATCATTTGATGCTGCGGCCGAAGTAGTCATCAGGTTAGGACGTAAATTTGCTCCAAGAGACTTGTATGTCTTTCCTATTGGTATGTATACTATTTAATAGTAAAAGTATGCGATACAATTCCACAATGTTAACAACGTTTTATCGGAATACAGTGAGTATTGCGTATTATTTGATATCGTACTGCAATTTTCAAGGATACCCGCCACGTGGGTCCTTAGTTCGAGTCTTGTTGATGGCCAATGCAACTTTTCACGATATTTATGACGCATTGGATCATTTAATTAATGAGAAGGTGAGGTTTATTCTCTTTATTGTGATCATGCTGACTGTTTATATAACTCAAATGATTCTTCAACTGTTTAGCCTCTACCTCTTCATGAGCGAGACGCTACCATATTTATGCTTGGTGAATTGGCAGAATTACTTACTCAATGGATTCAATCTGGCCAGTGAGTGTATATTACATTATAAGCTCTTCATTTGGATTCATTGCTCCCTGTAATACATTACTGACTTATCCTTCACTTGTAGGTTGATGTATCACGACGTAAACAGAATCTTAAACAGTTACTCACGGTATTTACTAGCAGCGCAGAGCCTATCGAATGGTCCGGCAACTGGTCCTCTCGCTAATGAGTTTGCTGATATAGAAATTAAACTTAGATCATTATCATAAAAATAAATAAATCTATGTCTCCTGTTAGTATAGAACACTTGTATAATTCAATGGATAATTTTGGCGATAATTGTTTGTATAATGTACAGTATTAGCTGGCTTTTTCAAACGTATTGTCAATAAAAAACAGGCAAAACATTCTGTATTGATTCAATAATATAACAAGTGATATACAGCAATTCAACTCATCCAATGCTATTCTACGTGCGGATAAAAACACTCAAAGGTTCATTTATCCTAAATAAAATATTCACGTCAAATTTACGTGTAGTCTAGCTGATACATTTCACATGATCGACAGAACTCAAAGATCAAAGATAAGACCTGAGAAGCGTCACATGGAATAAAATCAAAGCAAAATAGTGACAATCCCAAATCCCAGAATGACATGAATTCACGTCAAGTAAGTTATAAATCAGGTGACACAAATCCCATAATCAACACGGTAACAAATAAAACCAAATGGCATTTTCCAGGGTTTGGGCATACATTATTAATCATTACTATGTGCAAAAATACTTGCATAGAAATGTAAAGGCTTCCTGCGAGTTTCCATGGCACATTATATTAACGCAGGGGATCATCTGAGAGCCATTTCCGTGTAATCAAAGATGGATTTGGCTTATTTCACATCTGCGACATAAAAGCTATCAATCGAAAGTGGCGGGTGTGGATTTTAACGAGGCGAAACCCATGTTTTGTTCAGAGACTGCTTAGCACTGTATTCTACGCATCATACTGATTAAAGTTTTGATAGAAGTTTTAGTTCAACTGTTGTTGCTTCAGTATACGTCTCCTTTTGCAGGATGCAAGTTAGACTATAATATCGTAACGTTGTATAATGACGTTACCCTTTCTTGCGAACACATATCATTGTGGTTAGGAAATCAAGTTACCATACGCAATTTTTCAGTAGTGTAAGACGTCCATCTTCTGAACACTACGCGCAAATAGGCGATAAAAAAGGAGTGAGCAAGACGATGTTATTAGTAGGAAAGTCATATCATAGACACGGAGCGACAAAGTATAGGGATACTCTGGCTTTGGGTTGAACATTTCTCCTATCACTCTAGTACTGGTGAATCTTATTAATTTTAAAGAATAGTTTCTGATTTACTTCCGAATGAGAAGTTTTGCAAATTGAATTGGCGGAACTAGACCTTATAATTATGACCTAGATTTAGTGATGATAACATTCTCAAGGCGAATGCAGATAATAAATAATAATACCAGCGAAAAATAATTTTACTGAATGTGGCATTTTCATTTCTAATATATCGGTTTAATTAACTCTAACTTTTGTATTTAAAACAGAAACGCAAACAGGGAGTTAATGAACAGTTTTGTTCTTCTTTATGTTCACTTTGATTTTATTAATTATTGAGATCGATCTCAATTAGTATAATTATAAGTTTGTTGATTTTCGCACGTAAAGATAGGAGATAACGTTAGTCAATCCAATAAAGTAAGGCAAATCTGCTTGCAGTATTGTATTTGTTAAGACTACAACTATTACTATATTGTCTTCGCTCCCTTAACATTTGCTTCTGGTTAATAGAAAACATCTTTGGCAAATGCTTTCGCAGTAGATAGTCTTCAATAAATCTAAGAATTTCACCTCTGATTATTGAATACTAATGCCCCCAAATGGCGGCATATAACATTAGATATAACATTTGAGGGAAAATGGTTTTGACAGCCTCAAACTGAAGACTCGAAAAAAATATTAACGCTCTTGTCCTTTTTCATCTTTGCTTTTTCTTTTCCTCAAGTGCCTACCCGTAATTATATAAAGCAAATATGTGAAAATCACATTTACCGTACATAAAGTTCAGAACACGTGATTTTCAACGATTGTGCTAATTGGATACATAAATACATTCCGATCCCACGCGTCATACGCGGTATTAAACCAAATTTGCTTTTTGTCTCTTACACATTCTCGTCACTTCTTTAATATTAATTCTGTAGGCCATGTATGTCTTAAAGAGGGGTACGCTATTTCAAGGATCTAATGCAAGTGCTTTTTTTGGGGCGTATATCAAGATTCATTAACAATAATCGTACTATTTACTTGGTAGACGGTCGGAAAGAAAGTGTTGCCTTTGACAAGGTATTTGATTATGACTAAACTAATAGTACAGATAAAGCAACAAATGTATTAAAGAAAGATTACTTACTATATAGATAACAGCGCGCATTAATAAACTATGCTATGGGCTCGATACGAATTATGTTGACCCCGTTACAGTCACCCAAAGAGTAAGCATTCCTCGCGTCAAGAAAAGGCTGCACAATACAACTTTATGTCCTTAATCAACCGCGTGTTTTTCATATTTTATTAGGTTATATCCGGTGTTTATCAAGGAGTAACGACAGTTGAACTCGACAATTTGGCAGCGGAAACTACTGCTTACATGACAACTAAACATCCTGACTATGCCATTCTTGCAGCACGCATAGCAGTATCCAACCTTCACAAAGAAACTAAAAAGGTTTTTTCTCAAGTAATCGAAGATCTTTATCGATATATAAATCCCACTTCACAAAAACACTCGCCGATGATCTCAGACTATACTTACAATACGATAATGCGTCACTCCGACAGATTGAATTCAGCAATAATCTATGATCGCGATTATATGTACAATTACTTTGGTTTTAAGACACTCGAGCGATCATATCTCCTGCGAATAGGCGGAAAGATCGTTGAGAGACCTCAACATATGTTGATGCGGGTCGCAGTCGGCATCCACGGAGACGACATTGAAGCTGCTATTGAGACATACAATCTGATGAGTTCCAAGTTTTTCACTCATGCATCACCTACACTATTTAATGCTGGGACACGGAGACCTCAGTTATCAAGTTGCTTCCTGCTAACGATGAAAGATGACTCCATAGAAGGAATCTACGAAACCCTCAAAACGTGTGCAGTGATATCCAAAACTGCTGGTGGAATTGGATTTAATATACATAATATTCGAGCCTCAGGGTCATATATCGCTGGCACTAATGGTTACTCAAATGGTATTATCCCAATGCTACGTGTATATAACAATACTGCACGATATGTCGATCAAGGTGGCAATAAGCGTCCAGGTGCATTTGCTGTTTACTTGGAGCCCTGGCATGCCGATGTTTTTGATTTTCTAGATCTGAAAAAGAATACTGGCAAAGAAGAAGGTCGTGCTCGTGACTTATTTTATGCCCTTTGGGTACCTGATTTATTCATGAGGCGAGTTGAATCGAATTCACATTGGAGTCTATTTGACCCCAATGAGGTGCCTGGACTAGCAGACGTCTGGGGAGAAAATTTTGACGTTAGTATAAATTTTTTACGTACCGATTGCTGTTTATCAGTGGTTCTAGCATTTAATGATATTCATTGAACTGACACTTGTTATAATACAGCAACTGTATGAATCCTATGAACAAAAAGGTTGCGCACGCAAAACGATTGAAGCTCAAAAGCTGTGGCATGCCATTCTCGAGTCTCAAATAGAAACCGGTACTCCATACATGCTTTACAAAGATGCATGTAACCGCAAGTCAAATCAACAGAATCTCGGTACTATAAAATGTAGCAATCTCTGTACTGAGATCATCGAATATTCGAGCCCAGACGAAGTTGCAGTATGTAATCTTGCTAGTATTGCGTTGCCAACATTTATTGATAAAGGCCAATATAACTTTAAGAGATTGCATGAGGTATGTATGCTTAACCTATAAATGAAAACGTATTGACCGTAGCATGACTTAATGTGCATTGAACTCACTTGATGTAGGTTACCAAAGTAGTGACGCGTAATTTAAATAAGATTATCGACGTCAACTTTTATCCTGTGCCTGAAGCACGTCGATCTAATATGCGACATCGCCCAATAGGCATCGGAGTTCAAGGTAAGAATCCGTCTCATTTTTGACTCTTATGAGATTGTTTTTATGAATCATGTCGGATTAAATTGCTTTTTGGTTCTATTGTTTAAGGTCTTGCGGACGCCCTTATTTCAATGCGGATGCCCTTCGACTCCCCACATGCCAGAGAGTTAAACAGACAAATATTCGAGACCATCTACCATGGTGCACTCGAAGCTTCGTGCGAACTCGCTGAAAGTTTAGGTACTTATGAAACCTATGAAGGCTCTCCTGTATCAAAAGGCCTTCTACAGTATGATATGTGGGGTGTTGAACCGACAGATCTTTGGGATTGGGACTCGTTAAAGAAGAAGATTGCCGCTCATGGCGTCCGCAATTCGTTACTAGTTGCACCTATGCCGACTGCATCAACATCACAGATATTAGGATTCAACGAGTGTTTCGAGCCTTATACAAGTAACATTTACACCCGGCGCGCACTTGCTGGCGAGTTCCAGATTGTGAATCCTTGGTTACTCAAGGAGCTTGTTGAGATGGGATTATGGAATGAAAATATGAAGAATAGAATTATCGCTGCTAATGGGAGTATTCAGAAAAGTACGTTAGGCTATTTTCTTGTTAATTTCAATTGTTAAGTGTCCTTACAAACTGTAACTCATGGTCACTTTTAATATGTAGTAACAGGGATTCCGGATGAATTGAAAGCATTGTACAAAACGACATGGGAGATTTCTCAAAAAGTTATTATTGACATGGCAGCCGATCGCGGTGCCTTCATTGATCAGTCGCAAAGTCTAAACATTCACATTGCGGAACCAACCTATGCTAAATTGACTAGCATGCATTTGTGAGTATTAACTATTATTTGATTACGTTTAATTCACCATATTCACTAATCATTCAATTTTCTAGTTACGGATGGAAGAAGGGACTAAAAACTGGGATGTATTATTTGCGAACCAAACCGGCAGCAGATGCTATCAAGGTTGATACAACGTTATGTGGTTTACGCGATTTTCCCAACATTGAGACTAACACATTATATATTACATCACAGTTTACTGTGGATCAAACATCCCTCAAGGAACTAGACTCTAAACCAGTGCTTCCCGTATTAGTGA